GTTCTAGGCTAGGTCTGAAGGGCCACACCATTATTACTAGCAGTCCAGAGGCAAAGGCAAATGATATCTGTTCTACACAGCAAGTTCCAGAGAGAGAGAGAGAGAGAGAGAGAGAGAGAGAGAGAGAGAGAGATTTTTCATTGCAAAGTTATAATCCTTGTAGGTTTTTAAAAATACTTATTTTATTCATATTATGGGTGTTTGCTAGCATGAGTTTCTATGTACCATGTGTGTGCAGGAGCCCATGGAAGTCAGAAAAGGGTATTGGATCCTCTGAAACTGGAGTTACAATTGGTTGTGAGCCGCCATGTGGGTGCTGGGGAAGTGAACCCAGGTCCTCTGCAAGAACATGAAGTGCTCTTAACTGCTGAACCATCTCCAGGACCGTCATCTAGGTTTTCTATTTGGTTGTCTGTCTTTTTTCTTCTTAATGATTTGAATTAGTAATCTTTTTTGGGCTTGAGTTCCTTTTTTGGTTATATGCGTGGCAAACAATTATCTCCAAATTAGTGCCCACTAATACAAACAAATGTTAATTGTAATGCAGTGAAACTTAGGTGACCTCAAAGATTGTGTTTTGTGTCTTTAAAAAAATCATCTATATTTTATTTTAAAAGTGATTTAGTTATGGCTTTTATCTTAAATTTATAATTCATTTAATAAACACTATTGTATACCTATTACATACTTGAGGTTTTTGTCACCTATTTTTCACATATCTGATGTTAGGATGCATTTATAATGGAAAGCATTTTATTTTTAATAATTATTATCAAGCTTTCATTGATTTTCATTAATTTGTATTGCTGGTGCAAATATCCCTGAAGCTGGGTAATTTCTAATGTAAGACAATTTATTTGGCTCACTGTTACAGTTGCTAGAGAGCCAACATCATAGTTAAAATCTTTTTAGTTCTTTAGCTTATTACTTTTCTCAGAATTTGGTGGATCATTGTTTATATGCTAATACTATAGGTATTGGATATAAAGAGACAAAATTGATTGTTTTTTTCTTCAAGCCATCTCTACAACAATTCATTGGGATTTGAGAAGAGCACAGGAAATTTTTAAGATTTTTTTTTTTTGTGCATTTATTCTATTTGGTCTGATCTATGACATTATGCAATTTCCCTTATGTATAGATTGTTAAGATTAATTAATTTTATATATTTGTTATGGCATATGTTTAGATTGGATTTCCTATCAAAGCAAAATTTCCCACTGCTGGTCTACAGAAGAGAATGTAAATGTGAAAAGTAGTTGTGACAGCCCTGGAAATACAGCAGGAGGCCTGGAAAGCGTGTGGTGTTGGAGACAGGGAGCAAGACATTTACCCATGGCTGACCTGAAGTCACTGAAGCATGGAGATTAGGAGCACTAGATGGTTGGCTAGCATACTTGATGTTTGGGTCAGAGAAGGAGATGACAGGAGATTGGTGACTGGGGGCCAGATTAGTTGACTAAGGCATTTCAGCTTAGTTTTCAATGTCATTGGGTTTCACATAAACATTTTAGTTATGGTGGGATAGTATTTTTAGTGTTTTGAAGAACTCCATTACCAGCAGTGGTTAGTATATTGAAATGATGAGGAACTGCACAAGGAATCTAGTGCCTCAGTGGTTTGAGTGATCCCTGTAGTCTGCTCCTAGTGCTTCTTCAGCTGGCTGCTCAGTGCTTCCTGTACTGTAGTCGTGGATGTAAAGTGACCTTGCTTTCTACCTGTTTTTGTTGCTTTGGTGAAGTGATGTGTATTTTAGAAGGAATTTAGGCTACTTACATAGTGTTCATTTTCTTGAAAAAATAAGAGCTTGTTTGTTCCTAGTTACTATTAGAGGCATCTGAGTACCATTAGGCAAGTCTGTCATTTGGATAGTTTAGAGACAGTTATATCCTTTTTGTAAAGAGAGCATTTTAGAAATCAGATACCCATGTTCTTGCTCATTTTAAATACTTGTTCTTAGTCGGGTGTAAAAGTTGTCATTCTTCCAAAGCTGAGAGAAAGACATCTTGAAGCATCCATAAACAAGTGCTGCCACTCCTGTGAAAACATCAGTTTGGGTAATAAAGATTGGAGAAGCAGAAAAGAGTGGTGCTGGTGTCACAGGAAGGTTTTTCAGCCTTAAAGTAAAGAACTGTCTAGATGGAGTGACTGTGATTTCTAACCTAGACCATTACCTAGGCCAGTACTAGAGGATTTATTTCAGCTAGGCTTAACCATGAGCTGGACAGGCCATGTCCAAGTGTACACACTCATCCTGTGGCATTAAATCACATGTGCCTGAAGGACACTAGAGTCAGAGTTGGTTGGGGGAAGAGAACTTTATCCTTTTATAATGGTAAAACTTTGAACATCTATCTATCATGTTATTATAATTTCAAAATAGCTATTAGTCTAATTATTGGGGCTGGCATGTACGGTTGTGCAAATTGCACTGGACATCTCCAAAGATTGTCATTTTATGGACTATTGTGTATGGCATGGCAGCATTGACAATTATGCTGATAACTTAGTTGTTAATGCTCAAATTAAAATCTGTCTTTTTAATTCAGGCACAACCAGTTGGAGATTGTGATTTTAACACTCGTCTACAGTGTATTGAACGAGAAATTATAAGTCCTCGACATGAAAAAATGAAGAATGGACTCATTAACAAAACACAGGAACCATTTAGCGTCAGAAGTAAACCATTTTTTGACATCAGTATTTCAAGAAAGGTAAAGCTGATTTAAGATTTTTGTTGGCAGTTCATGTTTCATTGTTCAGCTTGTGAGAAGAATGTGGATGACTTTTTGCTGTGACCCAGGGTCTCAAGTGTTATTCTTGGTGTGATATGTACCCTGTGCTGTGTCCGTTTCTTAGAGGAGTTTGTGATGAATCATCATTGTTCCATATTCTCTTTTTTAAGAAGCTCAAACCCATATAGTAATTTTGAATGAAAATGATTTAAGGCCTGCTCCTCCTCTTCTGAAGGTAAACAGCATTTGCTATGTATTCTTATTTTAAAACTTAGTGGTATGGTGCCAGGCATGGTAGCACACACCTTTAATGCCAACACAATAGAAGCAGAGATATGCAAATCTCTGTGAATTCAAGGCCAGCCAGGGCTCTGTGGTGAGACCCTGTCTTTCTTTTTTCTTAAGTATTTTATTTGTTATTTTTTATTTTATGTGTATGAATATATTGCCTGTGTGTATGTAAGCGCATCTGTGTTATGCAGTGCTCGTGGAGTCAAGAAGGTGTTGGATCCCCTGGAATTGGAGTTATGGATGGTTGTTAGCCGCCATGTGGGTGCTGGGAACTGAACCTGGGTCCTCTGCAAGAACAGCCAGTGCTATTAACCACTGAGCCATCTCTCCAGCCTCGTGAGACCTTGTCTTTTTTTTTTTTTTTTTTTTTGGTCTTTTTGAGACATCTCTCCTGCCTCTGCCTCCCGAGTGCTGGGACTACAGGTGGGCGCCACCACGCCCGGCACGAGACCTTGTTTTTTTAAAAAAATTTTATGATACACATTTGCATACACATGTACACTGAAGGGTTCTTATTTTTGTTTTGATAATGACACAAAATGAATTGGACCAAATGGTCTGGGACTATTTTTATCTGAACAACATAGCTTGGAAATATTTCTTTCTCTTCCCCTCCTTCCCTTTCCTCTTCCTCTTCCCAATTCCTCTGTCCCTTTTTCATCTTTCCTTCTTTCTCCTCTCTTCCTCCTTCCTATTCCTTCTTTTCAGTTTGTATTTTGAGAGGGTCTCATGTAGCTCAGACTGGCCTGAAACTCATGGCACGGCAGAGGCTGGGTTTGAACTCCTGCTCCTCCTGCCTCTACCTTCTTAGTGCTGGGATTATAGGTGTGAGTTGCTATTGAGCAGCCAGGACCAGCTTTTTGTGTGAGTACTGGAGATTTGAACACTGCCCTCATGCTTTGACAGCAAGTCTCTTACCTAGTGAATTGTTTCTTCAGCCTGCCTAGATGTTCCTTTATTCTTTTGTGGAATTGTCTTCAGCTTCTAGGTGTTTTTTCTACCCACTGTGTTTTCTGTGTGCCTTGAGCGCTCATGTGAACACATTCATTCTGCGTATGTTTCCTCTCCCTATTTTTCTACTCATTATCTCATATATATTATATATATAAATTGATTTTATTCTATGTTTATGAGTGTATTGCCTGCATGTGTGTTAAGTGTACCCATGTCATGCAGTGCCTATGAGGTTAGAAGAAGGCATTGGATCCCCTGGAACTGGAGTTATGGACGGTTGTTATCTGCCATGTGGGTGTTGGGAATTGAACCCAGGTGCTGGGAATCAAACCCAGGTCCTCTGCAAGAGCAGCCAGAAGTCTTAACCACTGAGTCATCTCTCTTGCCCCCTCCTTTATATTTTTTAATCCTCTCTCTTCCTCAGTTTTAGACTAACTACCCTTTAGTTAAAAAAAAAAAAAAAAGATGTGCTATTTGCCTTCATGTATATATGTATATTAGTGCATGCAGTGCCTCTGGCAGCCAGAAGCCTCAGACCCCTGGAAATGGTATTATGGATGGTTGTTAACCACCACATGTGTGCTGGGAACTGAACTTGAGTTCTTTACAAGAGCAGCCAGTGCTCCTAACTGCTGAGCCATCTCTCTGTCCCTGTAACCCTACTATTCTTGTTGTTGTACAAATTGTATTTACTAAGATATTTATCATATTATTACATTTAAGACATGATATGTATACGACATATTGACTGTTTTCTTAAAATCTTCTCCATTCCTCATTAATGTCTTTGTTGGCAGTCTTATTTTTTTCTGTGTGCACATTCTGTATGGTGTCTTCTCTGTCCTTTTGTGTGGCACAGGTTTGTGATTCTCCAAAGCTATCTCTTAACTTTTTCTCTCTTCTTTTTCTCCTTCCATTTTTCTTAGTAGTTTTAAATGTCTACCTTTGATAGTGGTTAATTTTCTTTGCAACATTGATTGATGACTCTAATTCATGAAGCTAGTTGGTTGGCCATCGTGATACTCTGCTTTCCATCAGAGCAGAAACATGTTTTGAGCATGGGTACCATATAGTTCATACTTGACCATGTGGACAAGCATATAAAGCTTACAGAAATTTCAGGGCCGATTTGTTACTTTACATTAAGAAGATGGATAGCTAGCCATTTCCTGGAAGCCTCAGGAATGATATGCTATGTTTGAAACTTGGCTTCTAGAACCAGGTTTGTATCTTCACTGGTTTAGAAGCCTTGCTTGGGTGCCATCTTTTCTTTTTAGAATTCTCTGAGTTCTGTTTATAGCTCCACTTTGAAGAGACTTAAACAAGATGTGTTCCCACTATTACATGTTGCCTCCAAGAAGTTGCATTCTGGTGGAGTATTAATTTCTAATGGAGAAACAACACTGTTCTGTTCCAGGTTTAGAGTCTTCAAATAATTGATGCCACGAGGAGCCAGTCTAATGATCTTTTTATATTGAGCTCTAGAATTATTTTGAGGGAAAAAAGAGTTTGTGATATAATTGTACAGGATATAGAGCAATATAATGTGGTTATGTGTTCTAAACTCTTCTTTAGGGTAATCTCACAAGTTTGATGCTTTGCATCTTTGTTACATTTTACCTGCTTTACTTAATTTGGTATTAGCCTTTGGATATGTTAATAGAGGTTATCTTTTCATTTTAATAAATACCAAATTATCATTATCCATTATTAATAACTGGAGACCTGCTTGGCATGAGTCTGCTGATTGACTTGTGCTACCATTTGGTATGCTATAGAGGCACTAGCAAGAGCTTTTGCTTTTTAGTGCCCTGCCTTAAATGAGGTTCAAGGCTTAACATAGAATGTTCTACTGGAACTGTGTACTGTTACAGGAAGATTTTCTAAATATTGAGTACAATGCAAAGCTTTGACAGAAACCAAGTTGGTTCAGTTTGCATTCACTTTTAAAATTAATTCAACAGCTTTTATTATCATAATGTATAGTTTAACCTTTAAGAGCAATGTCTTACATAGTCTAATTCCATTAGTCATAATCAGTGCTGCTTTGAGCTACAGTTGGCCTTTCACATCTGTGGGCTTTACACACAACGGTCAAAGAAAATATTTAGGGAAAAATTGTATCTATACTGAACATGTGCAGATTTTTTGTCATTATTGATTCAACAGTACAATGGACAACTATTTACATAGCATTTTCATTATAAAAAGTATTATAAGAAATCCAGAAAGCATTTAGAGTATATGGAGGATTTGCATCGGGTATATGCAGATGCTTTGACATGCTATGTGTTCACTGACTTGGTATTTATGCAGCATGGTAGGTTCCTGTAGGGCACATGAAACAGTTTCCTCAGGACACAGGGATAGCCACATTTGCCAGTGGATGATACCACAGCTGTTCTCTAGCTAAAGCTAGGATCTGAAGCTAGGAAGACATGATGTTCAGTCATATATATATATCTTTTGTAATGCCTTTCTAAAATCATGGATTTTTTTTTTTTTTTTGGCAAAGCAGTTCTCACATTTGGAATTTTTAATATGAATAGCTCTGCTCTCAAGTTTTTACCACTTTCTTTGTCCTCAGTTTTTTTGACTGAAGTGCTCTGGATTATAGATTGCAAAGGGGAGGCATGCTTTCACAGCGAGGAGATACAGCATTCTCATAAACAGGAGAAGAATTCCAGCTGATGAGTTATTGCTAGGCAGTAACTTTTTCTATTGGCTAGTAGGATTGGTAATAGGAATAGCAAAGCATTCATCAGGAAGGCTATCTTCTCTTTGACTACTACTAGGCATAAAGAAAATTGGTGCTGGGCATGGTGGTGCAAGTCCTTTAATCCCAGCACTTAGAAAGCAAAGGAAGGCGGCTTTCTGAGATTGAGGCCAGCCTGGTCTGTATAGTCAGTTCCAGACCAGCTGGAGCTATTGGGAGACCCTATCTGAAACAGACTAAACCAAACCGAACAAAACATAAACCAAAAACAATTTGACAACTGTAAAATCGGCATATGGTCCTTAAGGATTTTTAATTGTGTGTGTGTACATGAGTAGGTGAGTGCAGGTGCCTGAAGAGGCTAGAGGTATCAGATCCTTATAAAGCGAGCTGGAGTTACAAGTGATTGTTAGCCACTGGACGTGGGTGCTGGGAATGGAACGTTAAGTCCTCTGGAAGAGGAGTATGTATACTTAATTGCTGAGCCATCTCTCTAGCCCTACCTTACTTTTCTTGTAGAAAGTAATAGAATTTCAGTTTTGTGTATTTTCAATCTTGACAGGACTCTGATTTTAGGACTTTATACTTCTATTAGCAACCTCTCGTGATGTCTAATTCAATATATCAGTGACAGTGAAGGGATAAAGAGCTGTTCAGTTTTCAAGTTTCACAGACATTGTTATGACATAACAGTAATAACACATACCAGCTTTTCAAATTATAATTCTATTTACATTTTCAGATTGTAGGCTAATTTAAAATGGAATTACCTGAAGAAATAAAATATGGTTGACAAAAAAATTTAAGAGCACACAGCAAAAAGTTTGTTTCAAATGTCTCCATTCAGTTTGCACTGACACAGAAAAGAAATCCCTGCTGTTCATTTTTATTGTATTTAGAATTACTTTATGTATATACAAGCAGATACCTTTATTCATATTCTTGCCATGAATAATCAAGAGGAAATTCCTTCATATCCTATTCTGTATCTTGTTTGTATTATTTACTTACTTGTTTT